GGAAAGAGAATTTATGGGTGGAAATTGAAGATTCCCCAATTCTCAGTCACATAGAAGAGGGGGCCCATTGTGTGCATGACTGTAAATAAATTCAGCTTCCTCAACTCCAGGAAGAGCAGAAGGGTTAAAATAGTCTCTATTTATGCATCTGTCAAATGAAGCCTCTGCCTTGGCTGCCCCCCAAATTAGTGGGGTGGGATGCATTATGCAGAGCATCCGAGATTTCCCAGCAGCAGGCTGAGGCAGGGGCAGGGGACACACAGACCACTGCTCCTTAGAAGCAGACCACAGGCAGCCCGTGGAGTCTGTAGACTGCAGATTTAATGCTCTCCGTCCATGACAAAACCTGGAAATGTGTCTGGGCACAGCTTCTCCGCTTTCCTGTGCAGAGGTGCTGTGGGCAGGGTCCCCTCCCCAAAGCCCTGTCTGTACCCCCTAGCATAGTCAGCACCAACTCTGTTCTGTGGAGAAGACAGCTCTTCCTCCTGCAGGCTTGGCGACTGTCCCTGAAGCTCTTAATGATGTAGGGCCCTGATTAAGTAGACGAGTCGTTGTCCAGCATGCCCTGGGCTTCAAAGCTGGATTTCCACAGGCCTTGTCCACAGTTCAAACTGCAGCATCTTGGCGTCAAACTCTCCTAAGGAAGACACCAGCAGGGCCCATACTCGGAGACCTCTGATGTTTCTGCCAATGTTCTGCCCACAGCAAACATGGCCTGGGCCTCCCTGACAGAGGCAGCCCTCGATGCACCCAGAACATGCCCCTGCCCAGGATGCCCACAGCCCTGATCAGGTGCTTCTGCACTAGGTATCTTGCAGGCCTGCTTGTCCTCAAGTGCATATTTTGAAATGTGAAACTGTTTCGTACCTTTTCCCCTGGAAAGCAGGTTGCATGGCTCCCTGCTTCGCGCCGTGGGAGCCTTGCTGATGCCATCCTCTCTGTCCTTCTCCCCACAGGAGGCCTATGTGATGGCCAGCGTGGACAATCCCCATGTGTGCCGGCTCCTGGGCATCTGCCTGACCTCCACAGTCCAGCTCATCACACAGCTCATGCCCTTCGGCTGCCTCCTGGACTACGTCCGTGAGCACAAGGACAACATAGGCTCCCAGTACCTCCTCAACTGGTGTGTGCAGATTGCCAAGGTAACCAGGCCGGCAAGAGTGCAGAGCGGATGCTTCCGGGAGACAGGAAGTGCGGCTGCCTGAGCTGGGCTTCCGTCCCTCGTCTTCTGGGCACCGTGCTGATCATTAGCAAGAGAGCCCAGAGTAAGCAGCAACGGGGACTGTAGGAGGACAGGAAAAAGCGACGGTCCTTCACCCTGGGACAGTTGAGGGTCTTGCCTCGAGGAGGTGTGTGTGTGTGAGAGAGAGAGACGCACTGTTCTTATTTTGGATTACAGTGAACCAATTGTCTTCTGCACCGAATCAATGCCTGTCCCACCGACACATTGGGATTCTAGCTTGTCAGCTACATGTGAGCGATTTCCTCTTTATTGAGTGTTCACTCTGGTTTGGTGTTTTTATTTCTCAGTCCTTGCTGGTGAATACTGCAGTCATTTGTAGTAGAGGAGTGTGACTTTTCCACAGCTGGGGCTTAATAACAAGGCAAGCACACCAGGCTGGGGACAGAAAGAGGGCGCAGGCATTGCCAGGGCTGTGTGGATGGAGCAGAGCTGCAGCTGGAGCCCCGGGTGCAGGTTAGGGAGGCCAGCAGAGGTGAGCAGAGGCCTACATGTCCCTCGTTAGTTGGCTTGCTACAAGACCAGGGAGCAGCTGAGGACACACAGTGGCCACCTGGACCCAGCTGGGTGCTGAGGGCGGACATGGGGCAGAGCCAGGTACTGAGCTGCACACTGGGCCCGAGAGGGACTTCTGCTTCCATCTCAAACTCCCCTCTCTCCCTCGCAGCTCTGCATCAGTTATTCATACCCTCTCTCCTTTCCAAGCTTACATCCATCTGCCTGACCACTAGTGTCTACATGAATGGAAGTCCACTTGCCCTCTAAAATCAGTCCAGAGCACAACACAAGAACACAAGAATTTTAATATAACAGTGTCTACTGCAGAGAGTTCCGCGTAGCAGGGGTCCCCTTCAAGCACAGGTCACCCAAGTTCCTCAGTGAATTTCCAAGGCCTGAAAGATCTCTAAGAGAATTTTCTAGAGAGTAATACTTAAGTTTCAACTTGTATTCAGAACCACAGTGTACCTATTACACTCTGCCCAGCTTTATTTTGATTTGAAGTCCTTCCACATTATGGACAGTTAGCTCTTCATCTATAAGAGATTTGCTTTTTAACTCATAAGAGCACTCATAAAAAAGCTTTATTCCACTCTGTGTGGATACTTGTCGTGATGAGGTGTCTGTCCCTGGAGGGACCAGAAGATAATGCATTCTCTAAATTATGAAGAGACACATTTGTTCTTGGATTCGTGTCACATTATTTGAGTATTAAACCATTTTCTTTTTAAAAGTTTGAAGTGAAACTACCCAGACACACTTAGAGGCTGACCAGAAACTGAACTCCTGGCATTTCCAAACTGGGGTTTATTGACTTGTAAACATCCGGTGTTGGTTTCCAGAGGCTTGGACTATCTTGGGAGGTCTAAATATCACAGGGGAGCTGGCCACTCTTATGCAAGCTCCTTGTCCTACTGAACTAAGGGGAGAAGTAAAACTACGTCAGCTAAGCAAAAGGAAAAGGAGAAGGAAAAAAAAAAAAAACGGAGATGGCCTAGGGATGAAAACAGGGTAGGATTTGTAAACCCTAGGACAGATATGCCCCTTCACTTGTGGTGAAAGTAGATTCTATTCTCCACAGGAAAAAACTAGGTTTCAGGCTGGCCGGGGAGCCTAGCGGGTAGGGCAGCTCGTTCTGTGCGAGTGAGCTGCTGGAAGGAGAGACAGTGAAGATGGCCTCCTAGTCACGAGTTGTCACAGCCAGACAGGGAAGGAAGGTGGCTCCACTCAGATGCAGCCAGCATGTTCCAGGCCCGTCATGCACAGCTCTACGTGCCATGCCTGTGGTTTGAGTCCTAACCTTGGTCCCCGAGAAACACGCCGAGTGTGTGTGCACGCCCCAAATCCCAATAGGATGGAGAGACGGAGAAGGGATTGTAAGTGGCCACACCCTACTGGGGGTGCTTGCTCCCTCTCCACCTCTCTGTCTTCTGGGAGTTCATGTGGCTTCTGGCAATTAAAAAAATTAAAAACAACAGACAAAAAAATTCTGTCTTGGGCCAGTCTCATACCCTCGTGGATCCCATGTGGACAACCATGGTTCAAATCCCAGCTCCACAGCTTAAAAAAACATGCTATGGAGGGGCCGGCAGGTGGTGGTTAAGGGTGCTGGACTCCCACATGGCGGACTGTGATTTGAGTCTTGGACCTGGTGGCTTGCTGTCCACCCTGGGTCTTTGAACTGTGGTCACCATGTGGGATCTGGCTTCTTTTGAGCATTACTTCATTGTTGCCCCAAGGAGTTGGCCCCGCGTGGACTAATGACAGTGTGTTCGTATCAAAAGAGATGAGCAGGGTGTGAGCCAGTGAAAACTGTGCTGGATGAGGAACTGGAGAAAGAGCTGCTCTCCCTGCCTCTGATAGGCTAACAGGGCGAGCACGCAGTGATTGTTCTGTGTAGCTTCAAACGCACAACATTCTTGTGTAGACCCCCGCTCACCACCCAGGTTTGCTCCCTCCTCCCCATGGCTTTGTGTGCTCCAGATAATGATCATATGGGGAGGGGTTCGAGGCATAGCCCCACCCCATGTCTTACTGTGCAGCTCTGAGAGGTGATTCAGCCACTCATTTACCTTCAGAGCACACACCTCTGTGAATTCCTGGGCAACACGACAGCAGTAGGCCACAAGAGCAGACAACCTGACCCGATAGTGCAGCTGTTTGAATTGTCATTTCTATATTCTTACCTTACTCAACAAAGATTACAGCTAAACTGAAATTATTGGGCCAGCCCCATAGCCTACTGGTGAAGAGAGACAGATCCTACATGCTCAACCATGGTTCGAATCCTGGCCTTGGCAGCTTAAGAGACAGGCCAGGTGCATGTGTATCTGTGCTCAAAATCTCAGTGGGATGGAGGAATGGAGAAGGGATTGCGGTGTGACTATCTGCTGTTGGGGGGTGCTTTCTTCTCATTCTCTCCACCTCTCTTTCTCTCTCTGTATATCTGTCTCTCCCTGGCAAGTACACACACACACTGGCAATTAAAAAAAAAAGTTTTTAAACCCAAAAACTGAAATTGTCAACCTAAACAATCACTTTATAGTTTATCACCAAGAAGCCGAATGCTGGGAGGGTAGTAAAGCATATTCACAACTTTTGGAGCATTTTCCTCAGTTATTTCTTGAGCATTTATCTGCCAGTGTTAAACAGCACGAGAAATACCTATGTAAGTAAGACAAAATGCATATCCCCAAATGTGCCAGCAAGTGATGAAAGCAGTCTCTTAAGAGCAACAGCAGGAAATGAAGCGGTCAGAATAGGAGAGCTGAAGATGAGGAAGACGCTGTCCTGAAAGTCAGAGCAGGACACAGTGAGAATGGGATCAGCGGTCAAATGGACTGAATCTGCCAGGAGAGAACTGAAGGACAGTGGTGTGGAAGCCAGACTGCCCCTTATTCTCCAGGACCCAGAGTCCAGCAGCCAAAGAGTGCCAGGGCCATGAGTGAGACAGCACCTGCCCCATCCTGGTGGGTCACATAAGCATGACTGAGTCCCCTCTTGTGTTGCTAACAGAAGGACCTTAGTCTGGGTGATTTATAAAGAACAGAGGTTTATTTGACTCACGATTCTGGTGGCTAAGGTGTGGAAAGTTCATGGTGTGGGGGCAGCCCCTGCTACATCACAGCATGGCAGAAAAAAGTAGAAAGGTCAGAGATGTGTGCAGGGAGAGACTTGTGGGTAGCTCTTACTCCCCCCACCGCCCAAGGGCTACAGGACATGTACACTCATCAGAAGAAAGAGAGACAGAGACAGGAAGTGAGAAATCATCCCCCCCCCCAGGGGGAATGGTCATGCTGTAGTCCTTTCTCCATTCTCCTCTCAGGATTTTGAGCATGCATGCACATACACCTAGCATGAGTTTAAAGTCACCAGGTCCGGACTGCGGTCAGCTACATGAGAGTCTAGCAATGTAACCATCACACCATTGGCTAGCCCCAGCTCTCGCTGTTAAAACAAATGCTTTTCAGCCAGCCCCATAGCCCAGTGGTTAAGTGGCCACCCGGTGTGCTCATAGCAGTCTCAAGACTCAGACCCAGGATCTCCCCATACGGGTCACTTGTGTTAGCACATGCCACCACCTGGCCCCCTCAAGCCCCATTGTTAGGAAGAGTAGCACAGTCTAGGCAGAATAAGACATGGCCTAACCCGAAGTCACTGTGGAAGGGATGGAGAGGAAGGATTTGACATTCAGGAGAAATGGTGACAACCACCGGCACCGACAGAAGACTCTCCACTGGTACCACTAGGTGCTCCACAGGGATTGGCTCATTCTGTCCTGGCTAGCCCTTTCCATTATGGGGAAACTGAGGCATGAGGTCTGTAAGAAGGTATGGAGGTCTCGGGCCGGTAAGTAGCGACATCAGATGGGAACACGCAGGGCCTCATTCTTGAGTCAACATTCCTGTCTCGCACTTGATGTCACGGCACGGGGTACAGTCCATGGTCCTCACTCCATCTGCTCCTCGCACCATGGGAGGCCTGTGCTGTGCCCTCTCTCTGGGACTGGGAGATGCTGGCACATTCCTGCCCCTTCTGAGGGCAGGAGCTTAGGGATGGGCAAGCTGGTTGACTTCACTCCGCCAAACCCATCCGCTACCTCTCCATAGCCTACTTCCTGCCTCTTCCATTCTAAGCCATCGGGCTTTTCCACGTGGTGGTTTATAAAATAGAGCAGAAGTGGGTCCTGTTCCAGCCTCTCCCGCTGAACTCCTCCCAAGACTCGTAGGATGCTGCAGCCCCTGGGAACGCTGAGTCTTTCAAGGTCAAGCCCAGCCGCCCCCGCCCTCTCTTGTGCTATGCCAGGACGTCTTTAATATCCTTGGGAAGCTCAGCCCCTGCTCCTCGTCTGTGAATCCAAGTTCCAGGTTGGCTCTTCAAATTCTCTTTTAGCTTTAGTTTTTCAAAATGTAATCTGGCAGCCCTGTAGTAATTAACAAAAATAAATACATTAAATTCAATTAAAGAGAGGATCTCGGAGAAGAATCAGGAAATGAACTTCCCAGGAGGCCCCACCGAGGCTGGGGCAGAGCTTGCTTCCTGTGGCGTCTCTGTTTAGACTCTGAGCGTGCATAAGGAATATGGCATCTCTTATCTTTGGTGACTAGTTAAAATATAACTCTGCTGAGCCCTGCACTGGCCTTTCACACTGCCCAGACTGTGTGGGACAGAGACCGTGAATAGAGTTTTATCTAAGTTCAAATGGCTCTAATCTCTTTGTCCCCGAATTATCTGTGATTTAAGACCCTCTGGTTGATTAGCTGTGAGCTCCAGGGTGTGGAGACTGCTCTTGTCTTCCCTTTCCCAAGCCTTCTCTGAAGACTGAAGTTCTGAGAAAACTCCATTCTGCACTTACTCGGGTCCTTTAAAACCCTTGGCCTGCAGTGTGGAGGAAGGGCTGGGGGGTGGAGCCCAGCGGGATTTATTAGATTTACACAGTGACACGGATTTACTCAGTGGCACAGGGCCAAGGTGCTAGATCTTCTCCCCCCCTTCTTGGCAACACAAGCAGTGCTTGGCCAGCAGACGGGTCTCACTGGGAGGCCCAGGCAGAGGAATTGAGGCCTTGGTCCCCAGGGCGGTCTTGGAGACTCAGGAGTTAGATCGTGAACGGCATGCTCCTGCCTCTAGACCCCTGTGTCTTCTAACCAGGCAGTCACGTGGGCACCACGTGGGCAGGAAGGAGGCCCCTGGGCAGATGTGTTCAACATGGCTGGCACATTGCCAGTCCTCAAAACCATCAGCTACTACTGACATTCCTTCCTTTGTTCAGTCTAGTCATTCATTCTTTAGCACGGTGTTGTAAAATGTAGGGGCCAGCAGGTGGCATGGTGGTTAAGGCGCTGGACTCGCACTTGGTCGATCGCAGTTCAAGTCCCAGACTGGCAGCTTGCTTTCTCACTTCCTCTTTCTCTCTCTCTTTCTCTCTCTCTCTCTCTCTCTCGCACACATGCCCTGTAGCAAATTAAACAATAATGATCATGATAAATAAAATTAAATAAATAATTCTTTTTAAAAAACTGTGTCCAGTAAGAGCCAGGCTGTGGCATAGCGGTGATGCACCTGGACCCACATGAGAAGGCCCCACGTCCATGGTGTGGCATCCATGTTGGGGGTGCCCATCTCTCAGTCTGTCTCATTAGTGAAAGAGCTAAATCAACAATGCTTTCAATTGTCAAAGAGTGTGTGTGGTCACCAGAGAAAAAGAGAAAGTCCCAGCAGAGCACGGTCACGCCACAGTCCCTTCTCCATTTCTCTGCCCCGCCTGGATTGGGGGCATACACAGACATGTGCCCAGCATGCTGTTCAAACCCCCGGGGCCAGGATTCAAACTGCAGCTGGCCCTGTGGAATCTGGCTCCCAATGGGCACTCCTCAATCACCACACTACAGGGCAGGCCCAATAATTAATTTTAAAATATGTGTCCAGTATGTCAGATTCTCTGTTAAGCATTTAAAGAGGCAGGATTAAAGTTAGTGTTGATCGTTGGGTGAATTTGGGTATGCCCTCCAAAGTCCTCTTTTGGTTTTAATAAATTTATCTATTTATTTATTTATTTATTTATGGAGAGGTTTTCGCTATAGGGCATGTGTGCTTGCCAGACAGACAGAGAAAGACAGAGAGACAGAGAGGCAGAAAGCAAGAAATCACCCCCCAAGGGGGGTGGCCACACCTCAATCCCTTCTCCTCCATTCTCCTCTCGGGATCTTGGGCACGCACACACACGCGTCTGGCATGAGTTTTAAGCCACCGGGTCCGGGACGTGAACTGCGGTCGACTATGTGGGAGTCCAGCGACATAGCCGTTACGCTAACTGCTGGTCCCCAATAAATTTATTTTTTTAAATTAAATAAAAGAAGGGGGAAAAGGAGAGGCTGACTGGTCCTCTGTGTAGGGACCGGCGTGTGACTTATTACGACAGGTCTGCGCGGCGCCTGCACCACATTGTACCTGCCACAGAGGTCATTCTCAGCAAACGTGTGATGAGGAATGAATGAAAGAGATACAGGGTAGGAGGAGCAGAGAATGGAAGGGCAAGAGAATAGAAGAAAGGTACAGAGAAGAGGAAGGGGAGGAAGGGGGGGAGCGCAGCCATGAGCTAATACAGCCTGGAATGCAGACGTAGGGCCACCCGGGCAAGGGGCCAAGCACAATTAACCCTTGGTGAATGTGCAAGAGCTCACTATATTTAATAAGCAGAGGCCTTTTATGAGAGACAAGGTCACCAAGTACAGAGCACAGCCCACGTCCCAGGAATCAAGGGAAGTCGAGGCCGAGGAAGGGGGCGGGCCTTTGCAGGGAGGTCACAGTGAGAGTGACAGGAAACGGTGAGTAACTCTGTGTGGAAGCCTTTCCTCAGCTTCCGCTCCTTCCCGCTCCCTCCACCCACCATCCCTCCAGAATCATTTCTAATTCTGGAAGTGCAACTGCCAAGAAGAACCTGCTCGTTTCCTCTTGTGTAGACATGAGCCCCATTAACCTTATTTCCTCACACACGGGAAATCAAAAGAAGAGAAGAATTTAAATCAAACAGCATCTGAAACTCAGGAGCTTTCTAGGTAATACAAGGAAAAGGGGGCAGCCCCCATGTACAGGAGACATGAGTAGCAATCATGTTTTCCCAAGAAGAGAAAAGCATTAAGGTCTCAAAATGGCCAACTGCAGTTCAAGTCCCGGAGGCACCTACCTAAAAATCACACTGTGCACGTGTGTGTGTGTGTGTGTGTGTGCGTGTGTGTGTGTGTGCCCAAAATCTCAAGGATAGAATAGAGGAGAAGGGATTGGGGCATGGCCATCCCCTCTGGGCAGTGAATTCTCACTTTCCCTGTCTTGGTCTCTCTGTCTCTCACAATGCACATGCCCCAAGGCAAAAAATAAAGTAAAATAAAATAAAATAAAAGGCTCTCAAAGACATTAATGATAGCCTCTTTGTGAGATTCTACTTTCATATAATAGTTTTCCTGTAGAACGAAAAATTTTTACATGACACTGTGTTGTGCCAAATCGACAAGTAACTTTCACTTAATATCAAAGAATTTGCCAGAAAATTTGGGAATCCATTCTCATCTGCAAGGAATCCCTGAAGAGGCGTCCCTTGCTGGGGACAGCCAACCCTAGGGAAAAACAGTTAGGAAAACCACTGGGGGCACTTCAGCAAGATTTCTATGGCCCAGATTAGTGCAGGGGAGTTTGCGAATGTCTCGAATGTCGAATGTCAGCTCTGAAGGAAGTTGAGGACGTGGCTTGCTTTCCTCTCTGGAGGGAGGGCTGCATTTGTGAGAGATCAGGGGAGAACGTGGGAACTGGGTGAGAGCTCAACTGCCTCCTCCTCTCAGCCTCCCTGCCTGCCAGCCTGGCCCTGCAGAGCAGATAGGGACCTACTTCATGTCAGCAGGTTGGAGCTTGGTAAGGCCTCGGGGAGGCTGGCTCAGTGAGGCTGGCCTCCATTGAGCAAGGAGGAGAGACCAGAAGAACCTGTCTGCCAACAGGGAGGAAGGTTCTGTGACAAGCACACCAGAAGGCTGTAGGCCACGACTGCAGTTCAGGTGGGATTTACTGAATTATCACTGGGTGTCAGCACTGTTCTAGCTGCTTCCCAAATATTAATTCTTTCTTCCTTTTTTGTTTTTGTTGTTGTTGTTCTTTTTTATATTGGCAGAGGGAGAATGTGCTCCCCAAAGAAGGACAAAGAGCCAGAGAAAGTGAGGGGGGGAACAGAGCCATCCTCTCTGCAGTGGGGTGTGGTCACGCTGCAATCCCTTTTCCTCCATTTCTCCCTCCTGTTGGGATTTGGGGGCATGCATGCAGTTGGCCATGTTGGATCACACACCCTTAACCCCTAGACTATGGGACCAGCTCATTTCGGGCTCTTTACAACAGTGATTCCATTTACAACAGAACTGTAGAGACCACCAGGGAAACAGCGGGGAATGGTGCCTTGTAAATGCATATTCAATATCTGCATAGTTTCAATAATAATCATGATTTAAAAAATAATAATAAAAACAAAAACAGAGACCAGTAAATGTAGGCAGAAATCTTCATTGGTAGTGAATCTCGTAAGGCAGCCCAAGGAAGCATGATGGGGCGTGGCTTAGAAACAAGGGAGCTTTGCTTTGCACAGCCCGGGAGGCGGGCATTACCCTCCCACTTTGCAGGTAAACTGCATGCAGGGGAGGTAAAACGAGGCAGGTCGCAGGCTGGCAAGTTCAGAGCAAGCTTGCAGCCCAGGGCTCAGCCTGCCAGCGGCCCTTCGTTGTCATTGTCCTCTTCTAGGTAACTGGGCAAGAGAGTTAACAATCAGCAGCTCACTGCATGGCCAATAGGTAGTTCTCCACATGTACCCGGTGCAGGCTGGGTGCAGGGTGGGTATCCGCCTAATGAAATATGAAGACAGGCTGACATGGAGAAGCTCCCAACCCAGTGTGAGAGTGATGTTAAGTTCCAGGACAGGGCACCAGCCTTGCATGGCATTGAGAGTCTGCTTCACTGCTGGGTCCCCTCGTTTCAGGGAATGAACTACCTGGAAGACCGGCGCTTGGTGCACCGTGACCTGGCAGCCAGGAATGTCCTGGTGAAGACCCCACAGCATGTGAAGATCACAGATTTTGGGTTGGCCAAACTGCTTGGTGCTGAAGAGAAGGAATATCATGCAGAAGGAGGCAAAGTAAGGACAGGGCTTGAGGGCCGACGAGCCCTTCGCTGACCCCACAGACAAGGGTCTCTACCCACTAGCCCTATTTTTAACTGATGTGGGGGGCATTTGCCGTACACTGGATGAGGTCACAGCAGCTTCCGCTGACTCCTAGCTCTCTCCAGGGCCCTCTTCTGGCAAGCCACAGCTGCCTTGGGGGTGGGATTTGCTAGAGAGTAAGTGAAGATGTTTCTGACATGATCAGAAACCAAAGCCCGGAAACAAGACGGGCCCCATCCCCAGGTGCTCACTGGCATAGGTGAGGTCCCACCCTCCCTACCAGGATATAGGCACCCTTGAAAGAAGCAGCTGGGCAATCCCACAGCTCATGTGGTGGCACACGGCTGCTCAGGGCATCTCAGAAGTACGAAAACCTCCCCCGCATTGCTCTGACAGCTCCTGTGGTCTCTGACTCAGGCTTGAGTCTGGCATATGGAGTCAGCCCCCCTTTCTTTGTCTGGCTGGGGCTTTCTCCAGAGGATTCACAGCAGAGAGGGGTGCACGCCCCCCATTGGGCCCCCTAATGCCCTCCCACGGCCAGCCTCAGCCACCTCAGCTGCTCTGGCTGCATGGCCCTGAGCAGCTAGGGGACCTATGACGTGGGCAGGTGGGCCCACAGGCAGGAGAGAGCCCCTGGCTTACCCACAGGCCCAGCACCCTAAGGGCTCCCAGCTACAGCATTCATGAAACTGACCCGCAGGCACCTCCCCAAGCAGCCCCCCTCTGTGCCAGATTCTAAATCTCTCCCTGCTGGGAGGGAGCAGTTGGCTTTGGTGGCCCGAGATGGTGGGGATGGCATGGCTTCCCTGCATTTGTCACTTGCAATTCATCCCTGTGCAATTTAATTTCTTTCAACGGAGGGAGCTAATCGAGGTCTCACTGCTTTATCTCTTACCATCCCTAGGTGCCCATCAAGTGGATGGCCTTGGAATCGATTTTACACCGCATCTATACCCACCAAAGTGATGTCTGGAGCTATGGTGAGTCAAATCTGACGCGCGTGAACTCTCACTGAGGCTTAGCTGGCCTTCGTTGTTCGTTCATTTACAGTACATGCTCTGGCGTGTAAGTGTTTTCTTTTAAGACAGTGACTAATGATCATGTAAGCCTTGCTGTCTATCTATTACACCAAAAAAAAAAAAAAAAAACAAAAAAAAAAAAAAAAAACAAAAAAAAAAAAAAAAAACAAAAAAAAAAAAAAAAAACAAAAAAAAAAAAAAAAAACAAAAAAAAAAAAAAAAAACAAAAAAAAAAAAAAAAAACAAAAAAAAAAAAAAAAAACAAAAAAAAAAAAAAAAAACAAAAAAAAAAAAAAAAAACACAAAACAAAGAAATCGAGTCTAACAACCACGCTAAAAGTCATTGGCGATAGCTGTGAACCTGACAGGCAGAGACAGAGGATCAAGGGAGAGAGAGCGAGAACTCAAACTCAGAAAGTATCTCCATCTGTGACATCAAACTAAACTTGACCGCCTGCTGTCAATTCAGAACCAAATGCAGATGACAAACAAGGTTTCAGGGGGCCGTTTCCCAATGAGCTTCTGACGAAGCAGCTCAGAGGCTCTGTGTCTCAGAGAGGGTGGTTCCACCAGAAGAAACACAAAGCTGGAAATAGTTACTGCTTCTGGCTCCCATGGGGGTCACCTGGTCAGAGCCCGATCCTCTCTTTCACCTTCTGAGTCCCGGCAGAGCCACACACAGGCCTGTGCCCCATGCTCATGCCCCCTCTCCGCCAACCCGCCTTTCTCACCCCAGACTTACTTGAGCCTGCACGGGCCTCGCCCGTTAAGAAAGCGTCCCTGATGCATTGCCGTTGGCTGCTGTGTTAGCGCCCTGGGCCTCGCCTGTCACCCAGCAATCTCCTGAACGACTGGGAATCCCTGGACCTGCCCCTTCATTTCCCTGCCATTGGTTATGCTCAGATATTTACAGAACAGAGCTCTGGGGAGGAGTCACCCCATCCCGCCTCATCGAGACGTGTATTTGGGGATAGCAATATCCAAAGGAATTTCCAAGAGGAATCTAATCATTGTCATAAAAGTAAAATGATCCATTTCATATGTTTTCCTTTTCCCCAGAACATTATTGACTTCCTAATAGCCCAAATATTAATTTATTTTTTTAGTTTTATGAGTCTCTATCTCTTCTGGTAGAATGTAAGCTTTCTAAGGGCAGAGGTCTTTGTCCATAAGTAATGATTTTTATACGTTCCTATGAACTGTTCTGCCTCAATAAATGGAATAGATAAAGAAATAAAGGCAGGGCTGGTCCCATAGCTCAGCAGTGAAGGGAACCACGTCCATGTGGCTGACTACGGTTCGAATCCTGGCCCCAGTGGCTTGAAAAACAATGCTGAGCACGTGTGCATGGAGCACGTGCTTGTGCATGCCCAAAATCCGGACAGGAGGGGAGAGTGGCAAAAGGGAGATTGTGGCACCTCTGCCTCCCGTTGGGGGATGCGCTGCTCTCTCTCTCTCTCTCTTCCTCCCTCTTCCTCCCCCCCACACACTCCCTCTGGCACTTGATCTCTTTAAAATGTAAAAAAAAAAGGGGGGGGAGCTATTCTGATGCCTTCCTATTTTCAGTCATTTTCAAGATATTTCTGCTATCCTGGTGGCTTGCTTTCTCACTTTCTTTCTCTCTCTGTGTCTCTCTCTGGTCAAATTAAAAGAAATGAATGAATAAATAAAATGAAATAAATGCATATTTTTAAAAAAAAAAGATATTTCTGCTATCCAAGAGGGAAACCCCCAAGGCCTGTCCCAAGCCATTCCCATTGTTCCCAGGAGAGTCAGCCCCTCCCTCCCGCCCTTGGGGACAAAACAGCAGTAGCTGCTGCTGGTTCTTCCTTCTTCCCAGCGTGCACTGCCCCAGCGACACTCCAGAGAGGAGCAACATAAACCTTTAACTATGTCAGACTTTTTCTTCTCTGCTAACATCCTTCTCTGCTTTTCTGTGCTCCAAATGAAATCTGACCTCCAGACCACAACCGATAAGATCATGAAAGGTCTGGCCCTCCTACCTTCCTGTCCTGGAGCCTCCTTCTCCCCGTCACCCTCTGGGCCCCACCAGCAGTACCGGCCCACACTTGTCAAATACATGAAAACCGTCTAGAACTCAGGGACTTAATACTTTCGAATGATCACAGCCAGGACCAGAGCGTCACCGCAGTTGTGTTTTCCACTTCACTGGAAGCCATGTTGTCGGTGATTGTAGGCTCCTGTCTCTGGCAGTACGCTGGTATTGTTAGGTCACGAGCCCGAATTTTTAGTTTTAAAAACATTTCCTGGGGACAGCAGGTGGTGTGGTGGTTAAGGCGCTGGACACTCCCACATGGCCGACCACAGTTCAAGTCCCGGACCTGGCGGCTTGCTTTCTCACTTTCCCTCACTCTCTCTGTCTCTGTGTCTCTCTCTGGTCAAATTAAAATAAATGAATGAATGAGTAAAAGTCAATAAATAATTATTTTTAAAAATGTTTCTATTTACTCCACCCTGTAGTCTCTAGTCAAGGCTAAATAATCATTTTTAATAAATCAGGACTAAGGAGCTGAAAAAAAGAGCATTCACACCACCTTCCACTCCCACTCCTAACTCGCCACCAGGTACCTCTCCCCTCTCTCTCACCGTTTGTTCCAAAGCATAAAACACCTGCTTTCCCACAATGATTCATGGTGCATATATAAAAACCTAGTTACAGAGAAGTTCACTGGCTTCCCAGAGCTGGAAATCAGACATTCTTTTTTTTAAATCAAGGGCATATTAACTATGCAGGGAGGAAAAACATGAGAATCTATTTTCTCTCACCTGGACCATAGCTTTTCTTCCATTTCCAACCTCGTATTCTACATACAAGGAGACTAAAAAGCTTGCAGAAGCATGAGGTTAATATGCAAGTTTATTTCAGTACAGAAATATTCTGAAATTCATCATTTTTTGCTCATCATAAGCATTTTCCCTGGACATTTTGAAGAGTCCTCATATTAATTTGGTTAGTTCAATTTCGGATTGGCCTTTGGAAGATCCAAGCAGGTCTGTGGTCACATGTATCGAAGCGAGCCTGAAGAAGGTGGGTCCTTGTACCAACCAGAGATCAGAACACCCTGGCGGGTTCCTGCGCCTGTGTCCTCTGTCCTACAGACTGAGACCCAGGACTCTGTGGTGGTCTCTCACGGCACCCCAGGGCACTGCCACGATGGAGACAAGAGGAGCCAGAGGGCACATGCTCACTAAGGCATCTGCACATTTCCAGAACAGAAAATCTTTTCCAAGGAGCCAGAAAAGTGGGAGGACCATCAGGACTCAGGGCCACCAAAAACACACCAGTTCTAAAATTACCACTGCTTTGACTTGTTTTTAATCAGGATAGCTGATTGATGTTAAAAATATGAATTTTAAACTTTTTATGTATAGCATGAAGAACACGGGCCTTTTGGTTTCCTTTTTTTTTTTTTAATTACTTAAAAATGGGCAGTTTAGGGACCAGCAGTTAGCATAATGGCTATGTCACTGGACTCCCACGTAGTCAACCGTGGTTCAAGTTCTGGACCCGGTGGCTTCAAACTCACGCCAGGCACGTGTGTGTGCATGCCCAAGATCCCAAGAGGAGAATGGAGGAGAAGGGATTGCAGCATGGCCATCCCCCTGGGGGGGGGTGTGATTTCTTGCTTTCTGTCTCTCTGTCTCTCTCTGTCTGGTGAGCGCATGTGCCCTATAGCAAAAACCTCTCAAAAAAAAAGGGGGGGGGTTGGTGTTTACAACTTTGCTTGGAATCTCCAGCTTTCCGATGCCATAGCTACAAGTCAGGTGGAGGGTGGTGAGTGAGCATGGATCCCCTGCACCGCAGCGTAAGAAGGCTTATACCATTCCAGTTGCTGTTGCCTTCTTTAGTGTCGTTACTAAAGTTCACCGAGGATTGGTCACACTGTTTGCCGGGCATTGGGCTTAACATTTCAATTGTATTACCTTATTTGATTCTGATAACCACAATGCGAAACAGATACTGTTATTATGCCACTTGATAGAGAGGTACACTGAGGCTCCCAGCACTCAGCACATTGTCCTGGGCTATAGAAGCATAAATCTTTAAATAAAGACAAACGGGGAGCAATGATGTGTAAAGACGAGGGATTGTGACTATGATGCACTCCCTTCATCTTCTCAGGAGTCACTGTTTGGGAGTTGATGACCTTTGGGTCCAAGCCTTATGACGGGATCCCTGCAAGTGAGATCTCGTCGATCCTGGAGAAAGGGGAGCGTCTGCCGCAGCCACCCATATGCACCATCGACGTCTACATGATCATGGTCAAGTGTGAGTGACTGGTGGGCCACCCACTCGCTTAGCTGGACCTGCGCCCTCCAATGCCTCGCTGCGCCTGGGCAGGCCTCGCTGCTCTGAGCCAAACGGTCGAGGTCTCAACTCCCTGGAAAAATGTCATTGCACTCTTTAAAGCAGGCACACAAGTCCGGAGACCTTTGTAAATATCCGCTTCAAGCATTCTTCCAAAAGCACTAGCTTGACTCCTTGAGCAGGGAGCCCTGACATTTGCTCGTGTTTACAAGCAAATAATTAAAATCAAAGTCCTTCGTAAGCCAGCACGCCAAAACCCGCCGTTCTCTGGGCCGCGGCAGTGAAACGCTGAGCCGCCCCACATTCCCAAGCCTGCTGCCAGAGAGACTGAATGTGTTTAAATGCTTGACAGTGAGTAAGCACCTGAGGCCAACGGAGTCAGCATTTCTGCTTTGACTTAAGACTTCCAGACAGTGGATTTAAGCGAAGTCTCCTGCAGCATTGCACTTCAGTGTTTTAACCTGACTGAGTGTGTGTAATTTGATTGACACTATTATTCCACGGTGGGCTCTAAAGGTGACATTGCGTGTGTGGCAACCATTGGCACCACGGGGCAGCATGGGGGCTAGGACAGAGCCGAGTCAATGTAAAGATTCCTGCTTTTCTGGGCTGCAGCCCACAGAGTTCATCTGTTTTAACGTCCTTGGTTTGGGCTGAGGAAGCTCAGGTCCAGAAGGGCAGATGATTTCTCTCAGGCCACAGAGCAGTCTGGCTTAAAATAGCTTGACATCCCGCCCATGTGGAAAATAAATGTGAGCCCTCAAGACGCACGAGGCTTTCCAGTCAGCAGCCGCTCCTCGGCTTGTTTAATCTGGACTCCAGTGGTTGTGTAATCACATGCTCTGGTGTAGTTAGCAGAAGCACCCCTCGGGAAGGCACTGGGACAGCCAGACTTGTACTTGCATGCGTGATCCGGAGTGCGCAGTGCAGTGAAAGCGTGAGGTGGTGGAGGTCCGCACCCCACGTGTCCTAAAGCCTTTAGATTTCTCAAGCCGAGTCTGGTTTCCAGCCTGGAAGTCTGCTGAGAGTGACTATCCAGAGACAACACATCTTTTTTTATTGAAGTATTTTTCTTTCCTTCACGAGAGAGAAACAGGGAGAAAGACAAGCACCCTGAATAGGCTCTCACTCCGTGGTCCTCTCCCCATCCTTCCCAGTCAGCCAGGATTACAGGCACGTGCTCCTGCCTGGGGTGTGCAGGTCAGCCCAGGAACTGAACCCCGATATTCCATGGCGTCCAGCCTTCAGAGCATCGCACTGCTGCTGGGCCTCTGGCTGGGTCTGCAGGGAGGTCTTTGATGGAGAGCCCAGACACAAGGGCACTTACAGTCACAGCAGCTCAGAGACAACTGCACGTGACCCACGGGCCATTGCTGACGTCACTTAAAGTGATGCCACAAGAATGTTGACCCTAGGAAGGGTAGACTTGGAAAAACTGGAGGCGTTATTGTCATTCTGATTCAAATATCACATATTATCATGGTCTTTAAACAGTGGCCAGTGCTCCGTTGCCAAGACAGAAGAGTCTGGCACAAAGTCGAGGCTTCGTCCTCATGCGTTTGTCTGCAAGGATCGTAGTGCAAATGCCCTCTTTGAGCAACTCCGTCTGGATCATTTCTTCCAGAGTTCTAATTGCACTGTTTTTCCTCCTTCCTTCCTAGGCTGGATGATAGATGCAGACAGTCGCCCTAAGTTCCGAGAATTGATCATCGAATTCTCCAAAATGGCCCGAGACCCCCAACGTTACCTTGTCATTCAGGTACCTGACTGCAGCCCGCACGCCCCCTGGGAGAAGTCCCTCTGTGAGCATCAGATGGCACTGTCCCGTTGTGTGCCAGCATGGCCTCCCTGTTTCCCAGGTCCCATCATTAAATCCTCCAGTGCAGGGACCAGCAGTTGGCATAATGGCTATGTCACTGGAATCCCATGTAGTCGACTGCAATTCAAGTCCCGGACCCGACAGCTTAAACTCATGCCAGGGGCATGTGTGTGCATACCCAAGATCCGGAGGGGAGAATGGAGGAGAAGGGATTGTGGCGTAGCCATCTTTCCAGGGGGTGATTTCTCGCTTTCTGTCTCTTTCTCTCTCTGTCTTTCTGGCCAGTGCACTGGTTTAAGCCTCATTTAAGGCACAGGCTAAGCTGTGGACTAAGTGCAGTCCATTGCACCATCCCCGTCTGAGCCCTCCAACCCACAGCCTTCTCACACTCCGTGCATGAGCCACGTCACACTGCGGGTCGCCAAAGGCCTGACTCGGCCTGATAGAAGCAGGGCTTTGGCATCATGTAACTCTGGCTTAACCCCTGATTCCATTTCTCCCATCCCATTGGACAGACAACTTGTCAACCTGTCTCCTACCTACGGGAACAGCAAAGCTGAGCTCACAGGGTTCTTTCAAAGATTCGATAAAATAACATACGCCGTGTACTGCGCGGCACCCGGTGCTGTAGGACATCCTCTGTGACTCGTGGAGGAGCTTCATGTCCTGTCCCCTGCTCAGCTCTTTCGTTGTGTGCGATCACTTTGACATCCAGACATTTTTCATTCATTTTTTAATTGCCAGAGGGCATGTGTGCTTGCCAAAGAGGGAGAGTGGGGAAAGGAGAAAGCACCCTTTAACGGGGTATGGAAATTCCAGAGCCCTTCTCAGTTTTTTCCCCATCCTGTCTGGATTCGAGGCACATATGCACATGTGCCTGTTGTGCCTTTCAAGCCACCCAGGCTGGAACTGGGACCACAGCTGGCTGTGTGGACTCTGACTCTCTATGCCCACTACACTACAGGACCGGCCCAATGTTTCTGTTTTGTTTTTTTTTAATTGACACATAAAAATTGTATGTATTTATGGGGTACAGTGTGATTTTTTCCCATTATATGAATACAGTATGTTGTGACCAAATTAGGGTAACTGGTATATCCATCATCTCAAATATTGTCATTATTCAGTTTACAGAACGTTCAAAGTCCTCTCTTTCAGCTAATCTGAGATACACAATTAGTTACTGTTCATTATATTGCCCCATTGAACACTAGAACTTGTTTCTCTTATCTAGCTGTGATTTTTCCGTGATTAACCACCGTCTTTCCATCACCCTCCCCTTCCTCGCTTCTAATAATCACTGCTCTACTTCTCTTTTTATTTTTGTTATTGTTCTTTTTCTACATTCAATTGCTATACATCATTTAGCTTGTAAAGAGAAATACTCTAGTTCTGTAAGGTCTTTTGCTGTCATTGTTGTTTTCTTCAATTTTTGAGGGGTTTTGTAGCTAATGCTAGAGAGACAGAGGAAAAGAGGAAAGTGAGAAATCTCCCCCCGGGAGGGATGGCCATGCCACAGTCCCATCTCCCCCATTCTCTTCTTGGGATTTTAGGCATGCATGCACACATGCCTGGTGTGATTTTCAAGCCACTGAGTTTGGGCCTCGAACCACCAGCTGGCCCTGCAGGGTCCAGCTTCTTAACCTCCATTGCCACCTGCTAGCCCTAAGGTTATTTATTTTATTTTATTTTTATTTATTTATTTATTCTAGTTTCCACATTGTGTGAGAACATGCTGTATTTCTCTTTCTGTGTGTGCTTATTTCCCTTAACTTTGTGTCCTCCGGATAGGCCCACATTGCCTCACATAGCAGAATTTCACTCTTGCCCGTGGCTGAACAGTCTGCCATTGTAAGCATAGACAGCACGTGCTCTTTATCCATAACGCTTGAGTCTTTCTTTTTAGGATTATTTAATTTTATTTATTCATTCATTTATTTTAATTTGACGAGAGACAGACACTGAGAGAAAGAGAGAGAGAGAAAAGGAAACTGAGAAAGCCAGTCACCAGGTCCGGTACTCAAACCATGGTCAGGAGTCATGTGGGAGTGTCCAACACCTTAACTACCACGCCACCTGCTGGTCCCCTCATAAGGCTTTCTTCTAAGGTGCCCACGCACCGTGAGAAGCAGCTGGACCTCAGAGGAACCAGGGGGGTTACTGTAACTAAACTGGCAAACGAACAGGGACCTGCAGCTACTGCTCCCTGCTCCTGCACCAGGAAGTAGAATAGCGTCTCTGTGGGCCTTTCTCATGGTCTCCTTCTCCGCTCCAGGGGGATGAAAGAATGCACCTGCCGAGCCCTACAGACTCCAACTTCTACCGGGCCCTGATGGACGAAGAGGACATGGAAGACGTCGTAGACGCTGACGAGTACCTCATCCCACAGCAGGGCTTCTTCAACAGCCCTTCCACCTCCCGCACTCCCCTCTTGAGTTCTCTGGTAGGAAGCGTTTCACCTTCTCTTAAGCTGTGTCTGCCAATTTGAACATAGCAAGTATTAGAGGAAAAATTACAGCCATCTAAGGAAACTAACATGGAGACAAAGAAGTAAATGTTAATAACCACGTGGTAAAGTCAAATCAGAAAAAAAAATCAAGGAAGTGTTCTAATTATTTGACTGCCTTGAAACAACTTGACTGTAATCCTTTTAGGTCTGCTAAGGAACAGAATTAAGTCAAAACCAAACCGAGGGGGCCTTTTGAAGTTTCTTTTTAAATGATTCAAGACAATATTAAGCACCCTCAAGTTTATCTGCTCTGTGAGGCCTGCCTCCTGCCTTTGGCGGAAATGGGTGAGAATGTCCTAGCATCTGCAAACACCTTCGCTGTTTCTTTTGCAGAGTGTGACCAGCAACAACTCCACCGTGGCTTGCATCGACAGAAATGGGGTATGTGTGAGCACCTGTGACCCAGAATTGCACGGCAGGTTGTGTCAGGGCTCTGTCATACACAGAGAATTCCCATCTTAACCCAAGTCATCTTGCTTTTTTCTTCCCGTATGGGTTCGCCCCTGCATGGCTTCCTTGGCCTGTACCTAAGACCAGCAATGGTTAGTACATACCTCGGTGCTACTCAGAGTTTGCTCCAGGGACCAGCTGCATCAGCATCCCCTGGTAGCTTGTTAGATATGCAGCTTCTCCAGCCACTACCCAGGCCCACTGCACCAGGACCTGTGGGGGTGGGTCCAGCAATCTGTGTCTGAACCATTCCAGTTGATGCTGATGCATGATAATGTGAGGCCTTGACCCAGACCTGCACTGTTCCACCCAGAAGCCTGCAGTCACATGTAGCTACCTTAAGTCCTAATTAATTTAAAATGAAATACAGTATAAAGTGGACTTCCTCACATATTTGAAGTGCTCAATAGCCCTGATGACTAGTTACCCTGCCAGAGCACAACTGACAGAACTCTTCACCTCTGCTGAAAGTTCCGTTGGACCGATCTGTGGATCAGGCCCGGCTCCTTGCCCTTGATCTGTGGCCCAGCAGCACAGGCATCACCTGGGAGCTGATGAGAAACACAAATGCTCAGATCCTGCCCCAGACCAGAATCAGACTGCATCCTAACCAGCTCCCAGGGGACTGTTATACAACTTGAAGGTTAAGCAGCCCTAGCTGAGAGTGACCTTGACTGTTTTCCTCCTCAGCAGAGCTACCCTGTCAAAGAAGACAGCTTCATCCAGCGCTACAGCTCAGACCCCACTGGTGCCTTGACTGAGGACAACATAGATGACATCTTCCTTCCAGTGCCAGGTGAGTAGCTGACTCTGGGAGCAGTTCTGCTCCTCAACCTCCCCGACCACATGTGGCAGCAGCCAGTCTTGATTCCGAGCTGCCCAAGCCATTGCTTCCCTCTGGCTCCTCCAGAGGTAGTGAGTTCAACAAGTCTGCAGACAGAGCAAGGGAGTTAGAAGCAGCAGCTCGATATAGGTGGAATGACCGAGCTGCGTGCTGTCTTCGTATTGAGCACAAGTTATGTCCAGGTTGTATGCTGTAGCTTTAATAATGCTTCTAGGGCTGGTCCCAAAACATAGCGGTTAAGCACTGTGTGGAGGAAGCTTAATACCACATTGCTGGCCGGGGTGCAAGTCCTGGCCTTGGTGACTTACATGGGTGGTACACGTGCATATGCCCAGGATTTTGATGGGCTAGAGACTGGAGGAAAAAGTATTGCAGTATGGCCAGGCTTAGTTGGAGGTGCTTTCTCTCCCTCCCTCTCTCTCTTGTTCTTATATGTGTGCTCACACTCCTGGTATGGACAGATAGATAGAAAATAGACATATAGATAGATAGATGATAAATTAATAAGGAATGGGAGCAATTAGTGGCATGATAGTTAAGGTGACTAGATCCTACGTATCTAATGGCACAGTTCGAATCTCAGACCCAGCAACTTGACACTCTAGGTGCATGTGCTTGCTTGCCCAAAGTTTAAAAAGAGGAAATGGAGGAGAAGGGATTGTAAGATGGCCACCCCCCTAGGGGGGTATTTTCTGCTCACCCCCTATTCTGTCTCTCTCCAGCAAATGCACATGCCCTCTGGCAAATTAAAATAATAATAAAGGAAAGAAAGAAGGAAGGAAGACAGGCTCTGCAGATTTTTCTATAATTTAAAGCACACAGCAAAGATAGCCATGTATGTGTGTGTATATGTACGCACAAGCATGGTGTGTGTGTATATATGGTATGACCGACCCAATCCCTTGTTCTCTGTCCTGGATCCATTCTTGACCTTTGAAACATGTATTTTCCTAATCTAAACTTTATCCCCTCATGCTCCCAACGTATTCACACGCACACACATATAAAAACCCTACAAAGCAGGCTACCTTCTGAAAACTTTAAAGTTCTTTTTAAGTTGTGTTTCTTCCATGAGAGAGAGAAGGGACCCTGGTAAGGTCTTTAGCCACTATCCACCACGTCTTAGTCAGCCCAAGTCACGGATACTCACACGCACCTGGTGCACACAGGGAGGTCCCAAGATGCAAACCCAAGACCTTCCCAGGTGCATCCAGTACCACTGCACTGTCACCTGGTCCCTGTGAACTTTAAATTTACAAAAGATACGTGTGGTCATTTCTTTAGGAAGTACAAAGAAGAGCCCAATTTGTGTTACAGCGACATCAAGGCAGCGGTCTCCGTGGCTTCCCAACATTCTGTCGTCAATTGCCCCATTGCAGATGTTCACAGGGTTTAAAATAAGCTTTGAAATCCTGTTTGGGATGATGCTTTGCTGATTATTTCACCTCCAATATCTCTTCAATTTCAGAATACATAAACCAGTCGGTTCCCAAAAGGCCTGCAGGCTCTGTGCAGAATCCTGTCTATCACAATCAGCCTCTGAATCCTGCTCCTGGGAGAGACCCACACTACCAAAACCCCCACAGCAATGCAGTGGACAACCCTGAGTATCTCAACACCGCCCAGCCTACCTGTGTCAACAGTGTATTTGACAGCCCTGCCCACTGGGCCCAGAAAAGCAACCACCAGATTAGCCTGGACAACCCTGACTACCAACAGGACTTCTTTCCCAAGGAAGCTAAGCCAAATGGTATCTTTAAGGGTCCTGCAGCTGAAAATGCAGAATACCTAAGGGTAGCACCACCGAGCAGTGAATTCATTGGAGCGTGACCATGCAACATCAGCTATAAAAATCCCAGACTCTTCAACCACCTGGGACCAAGCCATGGCAGCTATTCCAGTCCCAATAGCCATGCCCAGACTAGTTTTGCCATGTTGGCTCTGATTGGCGCCCCTGTCAACCAGAGAGCACCTCATGCTCGGATGCACCTTGGGAAGTTGCAGTTACATTCCTTTGTCTTCAAACTGTAACGCTTATGCAGAGGCATCCAGTAAGAATGTTGTCCACTTGAGCAGAAGTTTGCCTTTCAATGGGAAGAAAACAGTCAATTTATATAAGGAAATTTATTGCTTGGGGTTCTTAATTATCATGCTTGAACTTGGTTTGAATGGGCTCCTCCAAAGGGAAGAAGCTTGCTTGCAGCTCTTGATACACAGAGTTGATCCAGGCCCATCTGCCACCTAGGAGCACAGGCCACAGTCTTTCAGCAAACGCCTGATTCCATGGGTTCTGCTTCAAGACTCTTCCATTGCAAGACAGCTAAATATGCAAGAAGTTCTCTACGTCCTGAGCATGCTGGTTGATACTGTATCAATTCATGGCAGGTACATTAGGATAAGCCACTTTGTCCCTTCCTGGGCGAAGAAGAAACAGAGGGGGTTTATTTCTTCCTCAGACTTACTTTTGTATAAATGTCTCCATGGTACTCACTTTCCACGGGTTGACCAGTGTTTTCTAGTTATGACTCTTAGACTGACTTGTTTATTTTCAATTCCTTCCTTTTTTTTTTTTTCAAAGTCAATATGCGGTTGCTTGTCTTGCTGTCTTGAAGTCAGCAAGAGAAAATGGTACGTCAAATAATCACTAAGATTCTAGCCCATATTTGATTCATTGGTTGGCGTTCAGACCAACCACCTTTAATGAAGAAGGAAAGACGATGCAAACATTCACACAAGAACACAGCATCCAAATTTGAATCTCAGATGAAATGCAGCAGGCCCTTCAGGAGACTACAAAAATGAAGCTGCTCTGAAAACTCATTTAGCCTTCACCCCTTGCCTTGCCCCACCCCCCAAAATTAGTTTAGGCTACTTATGGAAGATCATTTTCCTTTCGTTTCAATTTAAGTCTTTTACTCCAAAGGTATGGTGTTTCTCCCCGGTAAGCTGCTCCCAAGCCCCTGCCCCTGCCCTTGTGAAGAAAGTACCTTGACCTTGAGGCAACTCTGAGAGAACCAACAGCCCTTCCACAATGGGAACATTTTACATGCGCTTATAAAGACGGTACTCTGTAGTATGGAATTCAAGTGCAAAACATGAAATTAGAGGTTGCAATTGATGATAATACTTTTTCAATGTCCACAGATATTTTACAAGAAAAAGTTTCCCCCTAAAATAATTTTTCTGTAATTGAAAGATTCAGCTAATTGGGATTTATCTTTTTTCCTAACATACGTGTGTCCCTGCAACCTGTTTTGGTTCACAGCTGTTCTTTGTAAACAGTGTTTTAAAAACTCTCAGAAAGCATCTACCCTGTCTAGTTGATCAAGGAAGACATGTCTCAGATAATATTTTCAGCCAAAGTCAATATGCGGTTGCTTGTCTTGCTGTCTTGAAGTCAGCAAGAGAAAATGGTACGTCAAATAATCACTAAGATTCTAGCCCATATTTGATTCATTGGTTGGCGTTCAGACCAACCACCTTTAATGAAGAAGGAAAGACGATGCAAACATTCACACAAGAACACAGCATCCAAATTTGAATCTCAGATGAAATGCAGCAGGCCCTTCAGGAGACTACAAAAATGAAGCTGCTCTGAAAACTCATTTAGCCTTCACCCCTTGCCTTGCCCCACCCCCCAAAATTAGTTTAGGCTACTTATGGAAGATCATTTTCCTTTCGTTTCAATTTAAGTCTTTTACTCCAAAGGTATGGTGTTTCTCCCCGGTAAGCTGCTCCCAAGCCCCTGCCCCTGCCCTTGTGAAGAAAGTACCTTGACCTTGAGGCAACTCTGAGAGAACCAACAGCCCTTCCACAATGGGAACATTTTACATGCGCTTATAAAGACGGTACTCTGTAGTATGGAATTCAAGTGCAAAACATGAAATTAGAGGTTGCAATTGATGATAATACTTTTTCAATGTCCACAGATATTTTACAAGAAAAAGTTCCCCCCTAAAATAATTTTTCTGTAATTGAAAGATTCAGCTAATTGGGATTTATCTTTTTTCCTAACATACGTGTGTCCCTGCAACCTGTTTTGGTTCACAGCTGTTCTTTGTAAACAGTGTTTTAAAAACTCTCAGAAAGCATCTACCCTGTCTAGTTGATCAAGGAAGACATGTCTCAGATAATATTTTCAGCCTAAAGCTATGGTCATCCACACACATGTACACATCTTTCCTTTTGCTCTGAAATAATTTATTGACTTCTAGATTGATCAAGGCCCCACAGTCTTGTTACCAAAATATTTTATTTTATCTCAGTGGAAATAAAATTACATTTAATTAAATTCCATTATATCCTCAAATATAATTGAATTCCGTTAAGTCCTCTTGAGCACCTATAGCAATCCGGCATAGGTACTAAGGGTATAAACATAAATAATCTTTAATTCCAAGAAATTCATCATTTAGCAGAGAACATGAACTCATAAATATACACTGACCATCCATAATACAAAAGTCTTAAAATCCAAAGTTCTTCAAACTCTAAAACTTTTTGAGCAGACCTGATACTACAGTGGGAAATTCTACACCTGACTTCCTGTGGTGGGTTACCATCATAACACCAAAGATACTGTGTAAAATTACCTTCACGTCGTGTGTACAAAGTATATACAAACCACAAGTGAATTTCATGTTTAGACTTGAGCTCCATCCCTATGATATCTCATTATGGATATGAAAATATTCCAAAATCTGTAGAAAATTCAAAACCTGAAACGCTTCTGGTTTCGGGCATTTTGAATAAGGGACACACAACCTGTACTGACCTTAAAACAAGATGACAAATGGCATAGGGGACCCGTCAGCATGTGAGAACACAGAGCAGGGAGGGTCCTGCAGCAGGTCGATCCTGCCTGAGGAGACCTGGCAGGTGTATCAAGGAGGCTGGAGTTGGGCCTCACCGACGGCCAGATTCTTAGTCACTAGGGACATGGAAAGCGCATAGGTCTTCACGGACTAAGAGGGGACCTGCCAGTGGAATCCACCGTTAGTTCAAGTCAAGCTCAGTCATCCTGACAAGCTACTCCCTTTAAGCCTGAGAATGGAGCTTACAGTATCTCCTGAGATCCCAAAATGTTGCACCCTCCTTAAAGATTTGGGCTGTCATCTTTGGAAATAATCAGTGAGAGATTAAGCAACATTTCTGAGAATCTGAAATGTTATACCATTGTCAGTAAACCACTATCATTATTTGTTCAAAACAGAAAGAAATCTTTTAGTCAGATGTTTATCCAGAACTAGGAAGCAGAATGATTCATATTCTGCTATCACTTTTTTGTCAAGATGAGAGAGAGCCGTTGTAAACCGGTCAGACCGTACCAGTTAATTCCTAGTATTTTTGTAGCTTGAAATATTTTAGCATAATAAAGCAGCAAAAACGATTTGATCTTCCTTTTCTTCGCCTTCACATTTCAACTTTGCTGCATAAAATATAGTTGCTAAATTCTATAAATTTTAAGATTGTATTTCCCGGGTGGTTCTCATTCCACCTGTCCATAGAGGCGGGGGGGACTTGTAGAGCTCCAGGGACTGCAGTGTCACCATGGGCAAGTCAGGAGAGGGTCTGCCCAAAGCCCAGTTATTACCCGGTTATTCCTGCATCACATCCTTGATGGGTCTGATTAGAAGTTTGTCCTCTGTCCCTTCAGTTCTCCTTCACTGATAACAGACCTTACACTGTGGAGCTCGTCTGCTGTTTCTTCCTCAGTCAGTTTCAGAAGACCTTTCCCTGTGTCCCCAGCCTCAGCTCTGACCCTTGAGAGCTGTGAAGTAACCTGTACAATGGACCAAGGCCTTTAAATGCACCTTCTCATGCAGTGTCCCAGGAGTCCCTGGAATCATACCATATGACAAATACTTCATACCATATGTCACCTACGAAGTTAAAAAAGAAATTAATCTTCTCAGCTCACAATTGAGTCCAGATTGCCAGTGATCGTGTGAGGAAGAGCACGCGGTGGCATCACATTGCCCACTTGATGAGAACGAAGCAACGTGATGCTTCATTAGATTAGATTCGATTTGTGCTTTAGCCCCCCCCACACACACATACACACCCCAAAACAGAAAAAAAAATTTCAAACAAAATGAGCCAGAGATTGTGTAAGCACAAAAGGCACTCATGTTTGAACCTGGCTGCCCTTGGGAATGTCCAGGATCCCAACCAAAAAGATGAATTTCATTTTTTTCTGGTGCAGCCTAGACTCAGGGACTTTTCAGAGCCCCCTACCCTGAAGTGCTCCCAAGATGCCAGAACCACTGGAGTAAGGGAAGAATCTGAGAGGGGACCCGCTGGCACTTGCTGGGGCCTCCCACCATCATCCCTCACATTAGGCCTCTATTGACACATTGCACAGGGTGAGGCTGCAGTGCCTCAGGGGCGCCCCACCAGGCAAGCTTGAAACTCACATCTCCAAGGTCTCCTTTAGTTTTGCAAGCCTGGAGTCTGCCCTGCACCACTATGTCACGGTAGAATACAAAATCCTGGGTAGGATGAGAGACCCGTGTGCAGTGGAAGAAAAAATTCAGGTGCTCAAGGCTGAGACTTGGCCACTGGTAGCCCTTCCAAAAGTTGTCACTTTCTTACTCCAGATTGGCCCAGTAGTTTCTCCTGAAAGTGGCAAACAACTCAATTGGAGTCTTAAGGAAGCCTGAGACACTTTGCATTTTTATGAAGTGAGTTATAAAAATTAACACACACACCCTTGGAATGAACTGCTCCCTCTTAAATGATAGCTGTTGAAATTACCCTTAATATCTGCATGGTCTTTCTTGTGATAAGCACATGTTTTTATTACAACCAAATGGTCTGTTTATATGTTCTTGCCCAGCGGCTATCAAACCTTCCACCAGAAAACCCCGCCTCTTGTACAAGCCACACCTGACATACCAGGGCAAATCTCTTTGTATGACTAAAGACAGATTCAGACAGGACTTTCAAAAGTAAAATCTATTTTTGTAAAAAAAAAAAAAAAAAAATTGTGGGATATTGTCCTCTCTATGTAGCACTGAACTTTGTAAAGTATATTTTTAGAAAACTTTTTCTATTAAAAGAAACACGGTTGACTTTAGAAATAGCGCAATAGAATCAAAATTTGAAGCTTGTCTTTGTTTAAAAGGATTAAATCAAAGCAGGAGAAAACTCTCTTCTCTCTTTTGAAAAGGTGCCACCTCACTGCAGAGCTAAGCTAGTATCCATGGAGAAGAGGAGAGTCATCATTGTTATGTCCGTAGAATTAGAAAAGGTGGAAAGCACGCTTCACTCAGTATTGGTCTAAAGCAGGTTCTGCTTAATCTGTTCGTGGCAACTGAGTAGAAAGGGATTGCTGACTGTTACCTTTCATGGAACCCAGCTGCACACCGTACTCTGATCACCAACCAGGGTGACCTGCAGCCTCAAGGCAAGCAATAACAAGAGGGGACTTCAAAAAGTTCCTGGAAAAGGTGGAATCAAAGAACCATTTTATTTTGGTGCACAAAAGTAATTTGGAAATCCATGCATCAGTTTTTGATAATATGCATTTTCTATGAACTTTTCAAAGACCCCCCGTCATCTAGCACTTTGTTGGTTTATATACACTAACCTGACTTTGATGCAATCTGTTCTATTTTATTTTTATGTTTACAATTGATATGCATTTACCAATATAGACTAAAAATATCTGGAGAGCTCTAGTACTATTCAGCATGTTTTAGTTACTCAAGATATTAATGAAATTCACCAAGTCTCCCCAAGTCTAAGCACAGCCACTGTAGCTATGGAAGGATTCTCAGCCCTGGCTGCACGGTGAAATCACCTCAGGAGCTTTTAAAAACCTTGCAGCCCAGCTGCACCTCAGGCCAATTAAACTTGACTCTCCAAGGGGTAAGACCCCAGCATCTGTACCTTTTAAAGCTCCTAAAGTCATACCAACGTGCCGCCAAAGTCAAGAGCCGCTGGCCCGGGGGTTAGCCACAGGGACTTGGACTTGCAGGCAAGTTTTGCAGACATTGGCAACTCCCAGGCCCAGAGGACTCCAATTCACACAGACCTCAGCATGTGTCACTGAGTCAGAAACCCAGAGTTTCCACCTTGGCTGCCCAAGCTTAGAGGGAAGAAGGTCTAACCAACCAATGAAAGGCAAGGGGGCTATAAAGCAGACACCAGTTTTCCATTTCCTAAGCTTGCTCTCTATGAAAAGTGGACTGGAAGTGAAATAAGGATTCGAGTGTCC